CACAAATTTGCGGTAGTAAGTACAGAGTCCCAAAAAACTTCTTAGCTCTCCCACATTGTCTGGTGTTGGCCAGTCAGGACCATCAACAAAGGATGTAGCCCATAACGCATGGAGTTTTCGGTTCGAATGTTAATTTCAGAGACAATACACCATCAAAGGAAAAAAAGAACACTTCTTAACGAACTCTGAAAACAAACAACGTCGACTTGAAAATAAGGGATGGAAAGTTGTATATGCTGAAGACGATGCGTATCTTTTAATAGTCAAGACTGCAGTTGCTTGTGAAACAATGGTGATCGGTGAAGACACGGATATTCTCATATTGCTATGCTATCACGCTGATACTCAGAACTGTAATATCTTTTTCAAGTCAGGAGGGAAACAGACTACGTACAAAGCGGTGAGAATTTGGGACATTCGACAAACGAGCCCCCCCAGTGGCACAGCGGTATGTCTGCGGACGTACAACGCAAGAATCCGGGTTTCGATACCCGTGTTGGCAGAGCACAGATAGCCCATTGTGTAGCTTTGTGCTTAATTACAAATAAACAATAAACAATCGACAAACGAAGATGATACTTGGAGCAAACACCTGTCGCTATATGCCGTTCGTTCATGATTTGACAGGTTGCGACACAACATCTCGCATTTATGGGATTGGAAAAGAGGCAGCACTTAAAAAACTAGAATATGACCAACATTTAAGGGAGAGTGCAGAAGTGTTTTGCAATCAGGTTAAAACAAGAGATGAAATACAGAAAGCCGGAGAACAAACACTTATATGTTTGTATGGCGGAGTTCCAATTGGGGGATTGGATTTCAGACATTTTGCACGAAAAGTATTTTCAAGCACAACACACGTACAGGTACATACACTTCCTACCACATCCGCACATAAATCGGCTCGATTGACAAAATGTTACCACAAGAGTGGGGATGGTCAGTTGTAGGCAATAGCTTATTACCAGTTAAGACATATTTACCACCAGCTCCAGAAAGCCTATTACAAATTATAAAATGCAACTGTAAAGTGAACTGCGACACTAAACGTTGTACATGTAGGAAGCATGGACTTGAGTGTTCTATAGGCTGTGGAGAATGTAGGGGTGTTAACTGTACAAATGTAACACAACTGACAGAATCTGACATAAATGAAGATACATAGAAGATACAATATAAAGAGGACAATGTGCCAGCTTCAAGATAGGATCGTCCGGTTGTAAAGGAGATATATAACGAATTTAATCCTATTTTAAAATCAATGTGCGATATATTTTAATAACGCCGCAAAATTAACATAACTGGTTCTGGTTTGTGTATTAATTCAAGTAATACAACGTTGGTGAACAGATATGGCAAATGTTTATAGAAAGATCTGTGTGTTAAGTCTCATTTTGTATACTCATTTTCTAGATGTGGCTGTCACTTAAAAAGAATATAGATTTTCTTTTGATGGGTGGGGTAATATATATATAAGTTAAAGAGGTGAATAATCATTAATTTGGGCTTCAGTTAAA